CATGCAACTAACCAAATGCTTGGAAGTGGATACTGGAACTTACAGTAAGATACTCCAATGTGTGTAGTTTTCCTAACGTATCCACCAGAGCCTCTTCCATTAGCTCTATCCCAAGCATGTAGATAAGGGCGCCAACAATCACTACTGGGATATAAGAAATTATACCCGGCCCTACAAGCATGATGCCAAATGTGCCGAAAGCGAGCATCACGCCTGCCAAACGGCTGTTACCGCCACTGCCGATGAAGAGTAGACTATTGGTATAAACGAGATAATTCTATGTAGAGTTAGCAAATAACGATCCCATACACTGGACATCTCTCACCTTCGCTTACCTGAATGCTACCGAAAAAACCCGACACTGCGTTTGAAATACCATGTGCGAGAAGTTCTTTATCAACGTTTAAATTGTCTTCGCCGGTCGAGATACCCAGAGCAGGGACGTTGATGGGCACATGTAGCACGCCGAAAAACGTCAATGCGAACATAGCAGGAATGGTTTCCGCGAGTGCTGACCAATGAACAGAAGAAAAATCTAGGTAATTGTCAGCTGCCTTTTTGTTCTAGATAGGCGTTGGGAGGATAGATGATATCTTCACCATATAATGTATAGAAATGGTACCACGGCTCTAATGAAGATGGAGCCTCGAAGACCCAACCACGGCTCCGTAGAGTCTCTAGCGGTATATTTAAACAGAACTTGAAAATATAGAAGACAGCACCCATAGATATGAAATAACCCCCAACAAGAAAATTTGACTTAACGAATCGCTTTATCACAAGCAAGCCAATAGCGCCGATAAGGGGAAGTGTCCAAAGGAAAACAGTATCAAGCTGGAAAAGCCTTTTTAGAGTCTCTAAGTTGTATTCAAGATTGCCAGATAGACGAGCGGATACCATAACCCCCGTAGCGACAAGAAACCACCCAACTCCACCAATGCATCCGATTAGGATGTGGCGCGGAAAGAACCCTATTAGCGAGCCCAGGTTGAAAGCTCCCATCAGGAAAAAGACAGATCCAGTCAGCACGGAGCTGACGGCATAGGATAGGATGGTGGTCGCGAGAACTGCTTTCTCGTTCTGCTTGCCAACCTTCTTGAGGATCATAAAAGCGATTTTATGAAAAAATGGAACAACCTCAATCATTTCAGAACCAACACCTCCTTTGAAAACAGAACCACCACATGAATATACAAACTGAGCAATAATCGTACTGACGTAGAACATGGAGATGCCATCTGGGGCGAGGTGAGCGAATAGTGGCTCACCCAGCGGGAAAAGAATCATTCCGTAAGAAAGTGCATCTAGGATATTGAGCAAGAGGCCTAGAAATACGGCAGGAAGAAGGGTGATGGGGTAAACTATTCCCTTCCGCCAAATTACCCTTCTGTCCCAGGCCTGCGGGTTCAAGCGATGGAAGCACTGGGAACCTCCCCTTGCGCATATAGCACGCAATTTATCCAAAGGTTTATTATACCTAGTAATTTGGCCTTCTACATCAATTGGGGCGGTGCGGTCATCCCAACTCTTGGTTCGAGACGGATTGAGAAGTGCAGTTCGTTCTGTATCTGGCACATTCGAACCGCGCGACAGCGTGAGAGCTGGGTCTGGGTGCGAAAAATCTTCCTGAATGGGCTCTTCACTTAGCCCATAATTACTTCTATCTGGTGCGAAATCGCGGATCATCGTCGTAAGGGCTGAAGTGCTAACTTTTGGAGGCGAATGAAAAGCCCCTGTCCGAGAATCGGCTGCAGAGAGTTCTTCGATCTGCCCCGGTTGGCTCTGCGTCCAGGTAGCCCTGCTGATATCACGCTGGCCATCAACAAATACACCGAAGTTATTTGGCACGCCAATTTGCGGCTCTAGGCATACAGAGTCGGTGCAATTTCGCTCCCTGTTAAATAACGCCAGTGATGCTAATTCTGCCGTTTTTTCACGAACGGCACGAGATGAGTATTGGCCGGCATCTATCCGAAAAAAATCATATACCTTAGCACGATATTTGGGATAATCCATTGCCAGTGGAGAGAGAGTGAAGCTCACCTAGAGAGCCCCTAAAGGATCGGTGATAAAACGACCGGAGGGGTGTCCTCTCGTTGTGAGATGTGGAAAACGACATCGGAGGAAGAGAGCAATTCTCTTCCCCATGATTCGGTTGGGATCCATAATGGGTATTACTCGTAGAGACAGAGATATTCTCGCTTCTTCCTTCGTCTGTTTGTGTACGCACCAAATCGTCTTGCACCTCGCG